CAGGCACGGTACTGGGGCGCGGGGGCCAACGAGGTGCAGGGGGTCGTGCTGAGCCGCAGCGGGACGGTGGTGGAGCGCCTGGCCGGCAAGTGGCACGAGGGGCTGCACCGCGGGCCTGCGCCAGGGCAGTGTGTCTGGAGAGCCAGTAAGGACCGGGGCGGCGGCCGTGCTGGGGGCGGGGGGTGATACCCCACCCTGGGGGTCTCAGCATTGTGCCCCCTCTCCCCCTGCGCAGACCCCATGCCCCGCGACCACGAGAGAAACTACGGCTTCACCCAGTTTGCCCTGGAGCTGAACGAGCTCACGCCCGAGCTGCGGCGGGTCCTGCCTTCCACCGACACCCGCCTGCGCCCCGACCAGCGGTGAGCAGCACCCCGGTACCGGGAAGGGGGGAACGCTGAGGCTGCCCAGCTCATTACAGTGATGTCGTGTGCGTTTCCCCTCCACCACCAGGTACCTGGAGGAAGGCAACGTGCCAGCGGCCGAGACGCAGAAGCGCCAGATCGAGCAGCTGCAGCGGGACCGACGCCGCGTCATGGAGGAGAACAACATCACGCACCAGGCTCGCTTCTTCAGGTCCGGCATGGGGTGTGGGGGGGCAGCTGGGGGGGGCTCCCAGGGCTGGAGTATGGGGCAATGAATGGGGCACAGGGGCACCCTGTGGCTCAGGGGGATGTGGGGTTCTCAGGGAATAGGGGGGGGAGACCCCCCCCCGGGGGTCCTGAGGGCACCCCAGCTGTGACACACACCCCCCCACACTGTCCCCAGGCGGCTGACGGATGCCAACGGCAAGGAGTCCTGGGTCACCAACAACACCTACTGGAAGCTGCGCCTGGATCCCGGCTTCTCCCACCTGGACAGCGCGGTGCTCTGGTAGCGACCCCCCCCATGGGGCACTGGGCCCCCCCCAGCTCATCACAGCAGTGGTGCCCAGCAGCGGGGCTGGTCCCCCCCAGCACTGGGGATGCAATGCCCACCCCCTAGCCATTTTTGTCAGTGTTTAAGCAAAACTGTGATATAAAAGGCGGGGGGGGGCACAGGTAGTGCTTCCCCCTGACCCGGGGCAGAGCCTCGGGGCTAGCTGGGACACTTGGGGGCAGGGGCTGGCGGTGCCCCCCTGCCCTGGGGGCACAGGACGCCTGGGTCCCTGGCTTACTGTGGGGGGGGCGCAGCAGGGGCCCCTGGGGTGCCCGCGGGCGGGCAGACCCCTCTGGCTCCCCCCAGGCTGTGCACAGGGGCTGCTCTAATAAAGACTGCAAAGAGCTGGGGTGTGCAGAGAGCTTCCTTCTCCCCAGCACCAGCCCTGGGGCTCAGGACCCCCTTCCTCGCTGAGGATGCCTGGATTCCCCCCCTGGTGAGGGGTGGGGGGACAAACGAGTCCCTTAGCCCCCCTGGTGCCTCAGTTTCCCTCCCACCTTCCCACAGAGGAGAGCGAAGAGCCGTGCCCCACAGCGTCCCCTTTATTGCAAGATATGCTGCTGCCCCCAGCCCCACGCCAGGCACGTGGGGGCTCAATAAATACTTCAGCATTAACCCACACCCCCCCCCTTAAAAACCACTGACGACAAAAAAAAC